GGGGAGGTTAGCGGCGGTGGGGCAGGGGGGAAGGGGAGGGGAGGCGTACAGCGCTATCAGTGTAATTGAGCCCCAAGAACCTAGCCACGCCAACCTGGCCCGCATCCACCGGTGCCAAAAGCGTCTCCACAGTCAAGACCCTCTGTGTCACATACGCATGCGCGTCTAGAGCTGACGTGCCAGAGATCTCGAATGCCTTTACTGGTTCATGGTGGAGGAGAGCGAGGCCGACGTCTTGTGCAGGGTTGCAGGGCTGGCCGATGTGGATCTTTAGACCGCGGGACTCTGTTGCTGTGAACCGGATAAGACGGGTCCATGGTTGTGGGGTGTAAGTGGACATCTCTCTGAGTATGGATGGGGAAAGGATGGAGGGGATGGAGGTGTCATCCTCTAGCAGGTGGAGTGAATTTATGCATTTCATGAGATATGTGGTTTGTAACTGCATTACCCGTAAGATAGTGGAGGTGAATTAGACCGATCACTCCTCGGGCTGACATCTAACCGGAGCAGATCGGCATCTTACTCTCATCACGTGATATAGAAGGGACGCGCCTTTTTGCATTTTGACTCAACATTGACAGCCATCCATTGACCATACAGCACATTACACTCATAATGCACGCTGTCATATATACAGCTCTGGACGATGTAAGTATATCACTCTATACTCGGACTACACTCACAACACCCAGATCACTTCATCTAGAAGCTCACATTCAAGGCGGTATCGTGCACTCATAACCCTCGACAAACTATTAGCAGACGTATGCAGGAACACACAGGAGTTACACAAGTTTAGATTGGTCCAGGAATCGTTTGAGACGAACAGTACGCAATTCATATCATCCCATGCCCCACGCTCACAACGATGACCAGTCGTATCCCGACTCTTATCCTTCCTCGCCCTTTCTCTCCTCCAGCTCGACACTCTCTCCTCTCCATCCCTCTCAACCCCAAGCACCCCTTCCCGTTCGCACCACCACTCCCGCTCGCACTCCCCTTCCCCCTCCCCAGACGCGGCAAACCTGAACAACAGCATCATCCTCTCCCTCCAGCTACTGCAGGGCTGCGCCTTCCTCCACCCCCAGTCTAAAGCTTACCTGGGGAGGAAGGCGCCGCTTCAGCTCTTACTGGATATTTTGCTAGCTTCGAGACCGCATCATGCGCCTATTGGAACATCGCTCTTGGCTACAGATAGCCGTGCGCCCTCTTCGGCTTATCCCAGCCCTTCACCCGTCCCTCTCTCACCACTCGAGCCAGCTCAACAACCTACCCAACCCTCCCAACCCCAAGCACAAGGCAAACCAAGCATAGCCCTCTCAATCCTCGACACCCTCCTGTCAATACTCGTCGACTCCCCCCCCTCTCTCCGGGCGTTCGAGGCCGCCTCTGGCCTGGAAGGGGTGGTGAGGACGCTTAAGAGGGTGGGTGTGCCTAGGGAGGTGAGGATGCGCTGTTTGGAGTTTTTGTACTTTTATTTGTTGCCTGAGGGGCCTGAGGCGGAGGGGGCAGAGGGTCCCGAGATGCTGGACGTACACCGACTGGGAGGGAAGCTCCTCGAGGGGGAGGGGTGCAGTCCTTCGCCACTCTCAAGACCTCCCACTCCCCCGCCAGCAACAGCAGTCCCTCCCCTAACAAACTCCCGGTCATCCAGCGCTTCCTCCTCCAGTTCACTCGAAACGACCGCTTCCGCTTCTGCGGGTAGGCCCTTCCCGGTGAGAGGGAAGCTCGCTTTTGCACTGGAAGCGGATGGGATAGGGACGGGGATAGCGGTGGGGACAGGGGTGGGGATGGAGGGGTTCGTTCCTGCTACGCCTAAGAAGAAACTGGCCAGGATAGGGATGGGAACACCGAGACATCCTGGTTCTGCATCTGGTTCTGCACCTGGTTTCGGTCCCGGCTCTGGGACTGGGACCGGGACTGGGATTGGCACTGCTCCGGGCTCAGGTTCAGGAGCGGGAATGAGGCTAGGCACTGGGACGGGAAGCCGGACAGGGACGGGGACGGGAATAGGCAGGGAGCTCGCGGGAAGAACGGTGCCCAGTCTGGAACTTACGACTCCCGGGAAGGGGAAGGGGAAGGGGGATTCCCTATCTTCCACTTCTACTCCTGGTGGGATGCGCGGTTTGGGCTTAGCAATTGTGGAGCGTTCTCTGGTCGATCCCGAGCGCTCTTACCCCCGAGAACCCGGGACAGGGGCAGGGAGGGAAGGAGCCGGAGGGGCAGGGGTGATGAGAAGTACGGAAGAGAAGAAGGAGAGGTTGGGCGCTTGGTTGGGGAATGTGGACCAGCTTGTGGAGGGGGTTAGGAGGGCTGGGGTGTGGGCTTGAGCTTGATTGCTGCACTTGGGGCGAGGGTGAGGGAGGGAGAAGGAGGGAGAAGGAGGGTTGTTGGAAGGTTGTTGGAGGGTTGTTGTTATATTACATGGTATAATGTTCTTACACTACTGATTATGCCTACAATTTGTTACACTTTCCTTACACTTTCCTACTTACTCATATTATGGCATGGTATGTTATGTTGTTCACTTGCTCCTCCTCTCATGCCAGACGCGTCCCTGAATTTACGCGTTCGCGTCCTTCCCATGTCATGTTCATCAATGTCCACTCACCCAGGAATACTAATGACACCCATGTCTTTGTTAGACCTTTCCTGTCCCCTCGCTTGGCCTTCGACGAGCACTAGCACTGACTACCCACTGCGGTGAGCCACCTTTCACCAGCGAAAGTCGGGTCTGATAAGCCTTAGGCAGAGGACGGGCGAATCCCCTAGGGAGACAGTACGCCGCCTATACTGGGAAACACTCTGGCTTCCCGAGGTGCGCCCAACCCCTACCAAACACTAAATAAGGAACAAAAGAGTGAGAGTGCTAACGCCCAAATGTAAATGTAGGAACTTGTCGCTTTGCAGTCTGTAGTGCCCGCACTGCGCCGTTTGCCTGGGGGAGTGTTAGTGGATCATTTGGGAGAGGTGTTCTTGCCTTTGGACGGGATTGAGAGGAAGTATAGGGTTGGGATGCCTTTTCTTCTCAGCGCTCAGACTGGGGCTGGGGCTGGGGGGGAGGCGGAGGCGGAGGCGCATGAACTAGGACAAGGGGAGGGGGAGGGGGAGGAGGTGCGCATGATGAGGTTCGTTTACAAGTTGAGGGAGCGGGCGGGGGTGGGCGGGGGTGGTGTGCACGAGGGAGGCGGAGAGGGGGACGGGGAGGAGTTGGAGGAGGACAGGGAGAGGGATAAGAGAGAATGGTTTGACCAGCTTGAGAGACGCGAGTACGTCTTTCCCCTCCCCTCCCCTCCCCTCCTCCTCTACTGACCAGAACAAAACCAACAGAGTACAGCTCCAACTCCTTCTCCGCTTATTACAAGTCACCCTCCCCCCCGCACGTTCTCCCAGGAAACGTAAGCGCCCCTCCCCCTCTCACGCGCACGCACGCACCCCCGTAGAGGAAATCGACATCCTCTCCGACAGACTAGCGATCTGGCATGCCCTAGGCTCCGTCCTCCGTCCCCCTCCCGGACCCGGGAGTACCCAGGCAGAGGCAGGGGAAAGGGAAAGGGACTGGGTGACAGCGTGGGCCGAAGATGTGCTTGGACCGTTGTTTGACGGCACGGGGGCGGAGGGGCTCGTCAGGGGGTTTAGGGAGAAACTGGATCCTACGATCTCTCCTCCCAGCTCGCCGGTGTCTTCCTCTGGGGAGGTCGTGCTTCCCCTACCAGTACCGGGAGCGCTCGATCCTGACACTGCGGCCTCGAGGAGTGGTTCCTTTACCTCGGTCAACCTCGGAGCAGGAGGGGCAGGAGTAGGAGTAGGAACAGGCACAGCAGCAGCAGCAGCAGCAGGGTACAGACGAAGCATGTCCGTCTCGAGCACCCAGTCTTCCCGGAGCGTCATCAGTGTGAGCGGAACGCGGACAGGGGTGAACAATAGCAAGAACTGGGCGGGGAAGGAGGTGAGGATGGGTAGGCGGGCTATTGGGGGTGCGAGACCTAGGCAGGCGAGCTGTGAGTCCCCTTTACTCTGGGTGCTGAGGTTTGACTGACGGTTGCTTGTTGCTTACTGTAGTGCCCCCTGCTCCCCCGCCCCCGCAGCCTGCGAGACCGTTCAGACGCGCGGAATCCCAGATGCTGGTCATGTCCACTCCTGTGAAGAAACCGATACCCAGACCAGAACCATCCAGCGCTGACGAAGTGATGGAGACGCCGCAAAAGGGAGTCTAAGCTAATCTGTATTTCGGTTCATTTTGTACTATCGGGGTGTACGCCATGTACTAGGATATCGATAGGGAGATCACAGGCCGCCAAAAGCGATAAACTTTGTGTTCATGTACTCGTCTATCCCGTGCGGCCCGCCCTCGCGTCCCAGCCCAGATTCCTTCACTCCTCCAAAGGGGATCACAGGCTGGGAGATCATACCCGTGTTAGCGCCAACCATGCCCACCTGGAGGGCCTCAGCGACTCTCCACACCCGGCCCACGTCACGGCTGAAGAAGTACCCGGCGAGCCCGACGTCCGTATCGTTCGCGAGCCGGATCACTTCCTCCTCCGTCTCGAACTTGATCAGCGCTGCGACGGGACCGAACGTCTCCTCGTCCGTGACCTGCGCGCGTGGGTCCACATCAGCAAGCACCGTAGGCTCGTAGAAGAACCCTGGGAGCCCCTCGGCCCGTTTGCCCCCAACGAGGATCGACGCGCCCTTGGAGACAGCATCGTCTACGTGCCGCTGGACTTTCTCGATCGCCTTCTCGTGGATGAGCGGTCCGTGCGTCGTCTCCTTATCCATGCCGTTACCGATCTTGAACCCGTCGACTTTCTGAGCGAGGCGGGAAGCAAAGTCGGCGTAGACGGAGGAGCTGGCGCGTGTTAGTCTGATGTGCTAGGAGGAGGTTGAAGACGGACTGCACGTAGATGCGGTTGGCGCAGACGCAAGTCTGGCCACTGGCACGGAACTTGCTGGCGATGGCGCCCTCGACGGCTGCCTCGATATCCGCATCGTCGAAGACGATGAAAGGTGCGTTCCCGCCGGCCTCGAAGGACACCCTACGCGATTCATGAGTAAAGGAAGGAGAGAAAGTGTCACAAGCCCACTTCTTGAGACTAGTTGCCGCCTGGCTCATGAGCAGCTTCGCAACCGGCGTACTGCCCGTAAACGAGATCTTCTTGACAGTCTTGTTCTCGCACAGCTCCTTACCGACATCTTTGAGATGCACCTCGGTCGGGACGACGTTGATGACCCCATCGGGGACGCCGGCGCGCTTTGCGAGCTCGACAAGGGCGAGCGTGCTGTAGGGCGTCTCGGAAGGAGGCTTGATCACTGCCGTGCATCCGGCCTAGGAACATGCTCGTAAGGTTCTGCACTTTGGTGGAGGGGAATAAAGTACAGCGAGTGCAGGTGCCAGTTTACGGCCGATCATAGCCGAAGGGAAGTTCCAGGGCGTGAGAAGGGAGCTAAGTTTTTGTGAGATTTGTTCCTTTATGTTGATGGGTGTCACGTACCATACACCCACAGGCTGCTTCACGACCACATTGCGTAGACCGATCATAGCCGAGGGGATCGTCTCTGTAGCATATTAGCCCAGAATGAGGCAGGTGAGATGTTGGACGTACGGCCATAGGTTCGGATAGCTTCTTCCGCTGTTGACTGGTCAGTGCAATGGTCAACAATGTCTCTAAATGTGCGTACCAAACCACTCGACAAAAGATGCGCTGTACGCATTCTCGCCCCTGGCCTCGGTAATGGTCTTGCCATTTTCCGCAGTCTGGAAAAGTGTGAGGTGAAGTACAGGCGACGCTGGACAAGACGCACGAGAATCATCGCCAGGTCCTCGGCGTTGTCCTGCATGAGCTTGTAGAGCTTGAGGAGGATATCATGTCGTTCCTGCCCCGTTCTCAGCACCTCCACCATCCCGTCAACACTGGGCAGAACGTACCCTTCCCGTCGTCTTGCTCCAGGTCTTGAACGCCTCACCTGCGATGTCGATGGCGCGCTTCGCCTCTTCGACGCCCATGTCCGCTACGGCACCGAGCTCCTCCTGCGTCGCTGGGTCTACTCACACATGAGCGTTCAACCTACAACATTCGCAAGACGAACTCACTAAGAACTTTGAACACCGCCTTGTCTTTGGCGTCGACCCATTGTCCACCGATGAAGCCCTGGTGCTTGAGCAGGCTGGCATCCTTCAGCTGCAGCTTTGCGACGGTAGCGTAGGTCATTGCGGTCGCCCAGTTAGCTCGACAACGAGATTCCAGCAGTGTATGGAGGCGAACGCGGCGCAGAGAAAGGCCAGTAATGGGCATCCTGTTCTAACCCGGTGGTTGGTCCGAGTGGTAGGCTAGCCGGTCAGGTGGTCGTCGACTGTAAAGAGGGCAATTGGCTGGGAAGAGCGGATGATGATGCGCACATTATGTGAAGCGAACGGATGTACCTGGGGTTTTGACGTACTTCGCTTAGATTAAAACTGAATTGATACAAAATTATGATATCAAATTCAGGGATTTTCGGCAAAGGTGTTATACAACAAATATTAATTGGTATAACATCGATGAAATGCAGTGCATCTAATAGAGAAGAGACATCATTTTTTCCCTTTCCGACTCTTTGCCGTGGCATGATCGTCTGTGTCAAGGAATCCGCCGAGCTCCAACGCATCCCGGGCAGCTTGGTTGATGTGCTATTGCATTCGATCAGTGTTTGATCCGTAAGAGATGGGAAAATTACCTTGAATCTGTCCGCTCCTAGTAGAATTCCACCGAAATAGCGCGTAACAATGACAAGAACATCTGAGAAGTGTCAGCTCCGATCAATATATCTGATCGTTTGAGGTACGTACTGTTCACGTCCTAGTGATTACAGAGTCAGTAACTAGGCTCGACGATCGCATGTACACAACACACCAATATCTGCAGCAAATGAGCTATTCGCCCACCAGCGGCGCTCTCCCCATCATCATCATTGTCTGCATCCATCAGTGATGATCCCGGATACTGCCGGGGAACTACCTTGGTGAAGGACGTTGCCAACCTGACATCGCCAAGCGTGAATTACGGGATGTGCTGCCTGGTTGCAGTCAACAACAAGCTTAAGTCTGAGATGGTGCACGTACCCTAGCTATTCGCCGGTCTGACATGAGGTACGCAATCACCGGCGGCACCTGGCTAGCTTTCAGTGACAGCTTCCTCAATAACAGCGTCCGCTTACCTGGGAAGGATGTGTGATCTTACACGCCCTGCCGACGAAAACGCTCTTCCGGTCAATGATCGGTTCAGCCACGATGAGCTCTATCCCGTCTGGCAGCTCTGCTGTCACCTGAACCTCCATCGGAACCCTCGGGGCTGGTGGCTCTTCCCTCGCCTTGGGGGTCTCGCTTCCCGTCTGACGTTCTCGCTCCATTTCCCGCTGCACAGCTAGAGCTTCCCCTCTCCCCTTCTCTTCTTCGAACCATCGTCCTACCCTTTCTTTCGTACTCTCCACTCCATCAAACACGGCGACCTCTCCGAGTCGGAACTCGACTCCGTGTGCCTGGGAGAGGTAGGTACGGAGAACGCCGCCGAAGAGCTGGGAGGTGACTGGGTAGGGACCAATGTACTTGGAGAGGAGTTGGAGTTGCGGGGGTGTTGAATGTGGGTAGGTTTGAGGGAGGGTAACAAGTAGACGTAGAGAAGTATCTTCGTAAGGCGGTGATAGACTGGATGTTTCCTCAACGCAATTCATTGGGAAGTACCGTGGACATACGAAGTGACGACCTCGTAGCGAATTGCTTCTCCCGGTGCCCACTCCTTTGCCCCATTCCCATTCCCATTACCCTTCCAAGTTCTGATCGAGTTCTCCCCATAGATCGATTGTAGAGCTAGCTAGCCACTTTCTTCTCAGTTCCCTTGCCAGGTGTCAGGGAGGGAAAGGAGAGGGCAGCACCTTCCAGCTCTGCCATGACCTCTGGTTGCTCTGGTTCGGCTTCGTATACTTGGGAGATGAATACAGCTATCTCTGAAGCATAATTTCGATATTCCTCTTCTGTGTGCTCCATGATTGACCAGATGGTGAAATCGAGTAGAGTCGTCAAAGGAATAGTAGAGGATAACAACCCTTATTATGGACATCGCCACTACAATTTTGCCCTATTTTTCCTTGGTGTTCTCTTGTTCCGAACGACCATATCATTGTTCAAATTATCAGAAAAAGTACATCAAGATGGCTGCAGAAACTCCTTCATTCGTACTGCCGGAAATGCAGGACAATCCTGATGGATCGTGGGGGCCATCGACGTCCCAAATCCCTACGCAGTACAAGGAGTTAGTTCGAATTTCATCATGACATCTCTCAGGCTGATGTTAATCGCTCAGCATCCCTTACGCTCCCTACTCCAAGTCGGACAAGATAGGTCGCTTCGCCGACTGGAACGAGATCGAAGCTCGCGGGACGACGCGTGATGGCGGAGCTGCCGCTGGTGCCCGGCAAACTCGCCGGTACCGTGAAGGCCCAGCGGCGTACGGCGCCGGCGGTCCTTCCGCGTTCTCCTACACGCATGCAGAGGATGATGCCTCGTTTTCCCTCGTGGATAATAAGAATGTTCCTGCGAAGCGGGCCGGAAGTGCATTTAACAGGGGCGGTGGACGGGGCGGGCCAATGCGTAACCAGGTCGGGCAGAGAGGGCAACCTGCCCAGCGCGGCGGCTCCCAGCAGCGTGGAGGGGGCGGATACGCTGGTGGAAGGGGCGGTAATAGGGACTACATTGGTCGTGGTGGTATGAGGCTCGGCAGGAGGGGATGGAGAGACTGGGAGAAGCCTGGCAGGTCCAGGGAGAGCTCTATCCCTATCGGCCCAACGTGGAACCTCCTTGAGGAGATCGACTTTTCCAGGTTGGCTAAGTTGAGGCTTGACGTTGATACGTCGTCCACCATGTGCGCTACATTTTCAACTTGTCTGAATAAGGACGCTGACATTGGACTAGCGGCACCTACGGCAAATTGCACTGCTACGACCGTACGTTTGACCGCATCTCCACCAAGACCGAGCGCGCGCTGCAGATCGGCAACAAGATCAGGTATTATTCCACGACGTCTGATGACCCGGTCATCCAAGAGCTCGCTGCCAAGGATACGGCGACGGTCTTCGCGACGGATGCGATCATCTCTCTTCTCATGTGCGCGTCGCGCTCTGTTTACCCCTGGGACCTCATCATCAACCGCGAGGGAAACAAACTCTTCTTCGATAAGCGCGATGGCGGTGGGTTCGACACCATCAGTGTGAACGAGAATGCGGCAGACCCGCCTGCAGAGAAAGAGAACAAGGACGACATCAACAACCCTGCCGATCTGGCGCTGGAGGCGACGTATGTCAACCACAACTTTTCGTTCCAGGTCGTCAAGGAGGACCAGCAGCTTGCGTTGGACCACCCGAATCCCTTCTACGGGCCGGAGGAGACGGATCCTCTCGCTTCCTGTGGTTATAGGTACAAGACGTTCGACATGTCCGTCAATGATGAAGAAGACGTCAAGCTCTGCCTGCGCACGGAAGCCGATGCGTTCCTCCCTAATTCCCAGGGCGGAAAGAACGATCTCGTCAGCATCAAGACACTGTTTGAATTCGATTCGCGTGCGCAGGGTGCAGGCGGTGCCCCCGACTGGAGGACGAAGCTCGACAGCCAGCGCGGTGCGGTCATGGCCACTGAGATGAAGAACAACAGCTTCAAACTTTCTCGCTGGGCCGTGCAGGCTGTCCTTGCCGGAGCGGAGTCGATGAAGATCGGGTATGTGCATTTTCCTGCATCTGCTAGCGTTGGCCTAACCGAGCTTGCAGCTTCATCTCTCGCGCTTCTCCCCGCGATAACACGCGTCATATCATTCTCGGCTCGGCAACAATGCGCCCTATGGACTTTGCAGGACAGCTGAACATGTCCATGGCGAACGGCTGGGGGATCGTGAGGACCATCACGGACTTGTGTATGAAGCAGCCCGATGGTAAGTATATCCTCGTGAGGGACCCAAACAAGGTGAGTCAATCTACGCTGCACATACATACCATTTGTGCTCATGCAAATGCAGCCTGTCATCCGCCTCTATGCTGTGCCGGAGAACACTCTTACTGGTGAAGACGGTGAGGAAGAAGGGGAGAAGATCGACGAGAACGATGAGGAGTAGTCCTATCGCAACTGAGTACCAAAATGTGCTTAGGGATACGAGTTTCATTACAACAGTAGGTAGTCTACGTCTGCGACGATAGCAGTATCTCAACCGCTCTCTCCGTGGTATCACTGTCAATGCTATAAGGATTCTTCTCCTCTGTCAAGTGCACATCACTAACCTTCGCTGCAAAGCCCCTATCACATCCTCTCGCCTCGCATCGGGGAACATACTCGCCACCTGGGCGATTTCCGCCTCTGACGGCACTCTGAGCCCTAATGGTGTTCCCTGCCCCCTAATCTCCTGTACGATGCTCCTCAGCGTGGTAGGCTGCGTGTCCGGTGTCTGCTGGCCGGGTGCTGCCGGGGTATTCGCCTGCTGCGTCGGTGGCCGTAGGGCAGTCGGAATCCCCAGTCCAGCAGCAACCGACGCAGCCGTCGACATCGTCCGCCTTGTCGGCGCTTCGTCGCCTATTGATGTCCCTCTTCTGGGTGGGCGCAAAGACCCCAGCAAGGGTAGGATAAAGCGCGTGCTGAGCCGGACAATCCGGGGTGACAGTCTGTACGACTTCAACCCGAGTATGTCCGTCCGATACAGTTGCCCGCTCAGAAGGCCTATAGTTCCCGCTACGGCGCTCCCTGGTGATTGGCCGACAAAGAGTTGGAGAGGAAGGATATAGTGCACGCTTTTGTTCGAGAGAGAGACGCCGAAGACGCGGTAGTGGTAGATTGTGGGGACGATGCGGTAGTACTGGTACATGATACTGAAGACGAGGGCGTATGGACCTGAGGGAATGACGTTCAGGCCAATGTTGTGGAAGAGTACGAGGGATGCGAAAGAGAGGAGCGTGGAGAGGACGGTAGTGACAAAGCAGAAGGACTGTAGAGGTCAGTATCAAAGAGAACACAGGTTGGCAACGTATGCGTACAGCGAACTTGTCACTCCCAAATGTGCGCTCAATGTTCGCCCCAATGAAGAACAGGACATATTCTGCAACGAGAAGGTCGGAAGAGTTGGCAAAGGCAAGTGGGTATATGAACAATCGCCAGTATTGGTGGTCACGCCAGAGATGGGGGATGAGCTGCAGGTGCATGTAGTACTTGATGTCGAATAACGCCGCCGCCAGAGATGCGACACCACATACTATCATAATGCCTGTTATTTAATTAGTGTTAAATACTAGTTTAATATTGAATCGATAAACCTTCTGTAACGGGTGCATGATGGAACGACATTGCAGAGTCATAAGTGTGAACTGACAATGAACCCTGACAACATTTCGAATTTGTACTTTTTTCGGACATTTTCTTTTTCAACACTACACAGGTCAAGCTGGCGTCTGCACATCCTCTCGCTGCGCTCCTGCAGCACTACATTGCTACAGACGATGCTGCTGTCTCCTACCTTCCCAGTACCCTCTCGATTCTGAGCCCAACAGCGTTTCTCCCATCCTCACATCTCGCAAAATGGATCGCCCGCGTCAACTCGCTCGTCACATCGAAGCACAGGGGAGGGAAGTGGGCTGGCATATGTCTGGCTACGAGGACGGCAGAGTGCAGCAAGGATGTTATGGTGGACTGCGCTTCAGGATGGGTAGGGAACGTCTTGCCTACACTCCAGGTCCGTTGATGGCTGGTTTACACCTAACTCGATCCGCTGACGAAACGGGTAACAGAGAAACGAGCCCCTCCCGACTCAGTTAGCGGCGATATCCCTCCTACATACCATATTCACAAAGGCTACCGACATGCCTGAGTTTCTACGTCAAATATGCACACCCAACGTGCCCAAATTCAGTCTCGCCCTGATTTCCCTCTGCGAGAACGCGCAATCTTCATTGGAGCTCAGACTGCTCGCAATGCGCACGCTGACCCGCATGCTTGCGTCATACCCGAATGCGCACCGGAGTTTGCAGACGCAGCTGAACAATATCTGCTTGGCGAACATGAGAGGTGTTTCACTTACGCCCACGCCAGCGGCGCTCCGCCAGGCCTCAGCAGCGTTGTTCGCCATGGTGTGTGTCACGGGCGGGAAGGTCGGCGCGGCAGATATATGGAAGAAAACTATGTTGGGAGCACTCCGCTCTGCGGTAGACTGTGTGGGCATTTTGCGCCGCACAAGCAAACCATTAGGTTGGTGTCTATTTGCATAACACTTCTGAATTCTAACTCTTCTGCAGAACGACTATCCCTGCTAGAACATGTCGAACCTCTGCCCCTGCCCCCCTACCCCGAAGACCCGCTAGAAGCGACTCCTCTCGCCCTAGACCGGCTACGCAGCCTGACATCCCTAATCTCTGCTCTCTTCCGGCTCCCTGCTTCCCGACCTGTGCCCATACCCATCGGTGCGAACATCCAAGTCTGTAGTATGATGCTGAACTTGGCGGAGGATGAGGGGAAAGAGCCGTGGGAGGCTTCTCAGAGGGTCGCGGAGATGGCAGCGCTGGAAGAGATGTGGGCTCTGGGAGGCGAGATATTTTGTATCACCGCTCGGATGTGAGTCGCGTGTTTCTAATGTGGAAGGTTTACTCACGGAACGCAGCGCGCAACTGCATCTTTCGCCCTATCCGTCCACACTGCTACACATCTTCCTGAAACAATTGAAGCAGACCAAGAGCCGGTCAGCATTCTTCTTACTATCCGTGTTCGCACTCTTACAACATATCAAGGCGGCCCAGCTTCACTTTCCTGCAGTGCATCCACGCGCTCCTCATATCCTGCCTCATACCCACCGACCGCCAGTCCACACAGCTGCTCGAAACAATCCTCCCGCTGCTGAATATCACCCTTCCCCCCTCTTCAACTGGGCAGAAAAGCGAGGCGAGGAAGAACAGCAAGAAGAGAGGAAGGACAGCCTATGAAGGTGATGAGGTGTTCAAAAAGCAAGAGGAAACTGTGGATGTGCCTCTGATTATGCAAGTTTGTCAGAGTACGTTTATGTGACCAGCTTCCATCAAAGTTATCCTTGCTGATGCTGGACAGTAATCGCGACGCTTCTGAAGAATCCCCGGACCCCCTTCTCATTCCGCACACTCAGCGTCCGCCACCTGATCAGCGTCCTCCTGCACTTGGAAGACGTACATATCTCAGACCAAGAAAAATCAGGAGTCTGGAAAGCGGTCTGGACTGCGCTGGAGGTGGAGTGGTTAGAGCATGGTGGTGCGGGGGGTATTGCGGTCAACCTGGCTTCCCAGACAATCAGGACCGAAACTGTAAGCACCATTCGTCATTTTCTTATGTTGATCGCTCAGATTCCTTTCAGGCACTGCATGCCTCTCGAGGGGTACTAGAGCGCCTCGAACGTATGTTCCATCCCCGCCTACCCCCACTCCTACGGAACATCCCTGTCCTCGAGATCCTAGGTCTTCAAGTCACCGGCTCTTCCCAACTTCAAGACGCGCAGGCCGCGCTCAACCTCGCCCCTCAGCTCGGGATCGACCTCACTCTCAAGCCGTGGCGCGAACTACCTGATTCCATTCGTTCTTCCGGCCAGCAGCTCCAACATACGGAGGAAAGCGCACCCGTAGTGCAGCCTCAGTTCAAGCCGCCGAACCCTTCCTCATACCCACGATCAGGCCAACCAATGTTCCCGGAGCCGCAGGAGACGAGGCTGCCTGTTCCTCACCCGGTGGTTGAGCCGATGGACGTGGATAGTGGTCCTATTATGCTGCCTTCGATCGCTCCTCCACCATCCTATGGCACCGAAGCTGAAATTAGTCTTCCGGTTAAGGAAGCGGACCCTCCTCAAGTGCCGCAGGTTGTTGAGGTGCCTTCTGCTCTGCCGGTACAGGAGTCCACCCAGCCACAGGCAGACATTCCCGATAGCGCGACCTCAGGCTATGTCCCTTTCCCGCAGGAAGAGGAAGTGACGACCCCTGCACCTTCTACAACAGTAGATAAGGGCAAACAAAAGGAGACGATCTCCACTATCTCCAACTGGAGAGCAAAATATCCTACGCAAGATACAGAGGATGACGAGGCAATGCCGACTCTCAACTTGGAATCTGACACGGATGAGGATGAGGACGATAGTGAGGAAGAGGGAGATGAGGAGTAGCATATGATATCCATCTAATTTGATATGCTGCATTTTTGTTTGCTCTCCAACTATTCATGAACTCTGCTTGCTGGCTAGGCCCATAACAAGCAGCGGATCCCCGTCCAGCGCCTCCTATTTGTTTGCCTCCGTTCCAGATGACGAACGGCACTAGGGCGTCGAGTACATAAAGGGCGCAGACGACCACATCACTTGCAGCGCCTGTCCTTGTTGCTGTACAATCACCGCAGCCGTCGACCACAGGCCCATTCAGTCACTTATCATGGCTCCATCTGAATTCTTCGTCGTCCTCCAAAAGGGTGAGGGTCACCATTTACCGAGTCACGACCCTTGCTGAGCGAAAGACTAGGCATCACCGGCGGATTCGCCCCTCCCACGCCCTCGGCGGTCTACACCCTCACCGCATCATCTGACAACCCCGCTGTGGTACTCGTGCAAGCCCAGACGAGGGAAGAAGGCACTCCCTCGCTCTCCGACCCGCTCGCCCCAAAGGAAGTCGCCGTCTCCGCCGCGGAGGGGAAGATCAACGAGCTTGAGTCGATCTTGAAGCAGCTGCCGGTAGAAGTGCCCACCGGGAGCCAGGATATCTACGGATTGGATACAAGCATCTTCTTCGGCAGCGGCGATCTCGAGTGGAGGAACGGAGGACCTCAAGGTTGTGGGGGCGGCGTGAGCGAGGTGCAGGCTACGGATGAGCAGAAGGAGAAGTTTAAGCGTGCTGTGGAGATCGTTGAGAGCCTTGTTTGAGTGGGGGAGGAGGACGCACCACGATTTGCTCCTGTTTTACGTTCTACACTAGATCGAAAGGAAGCCACCGTGTGAAATGTTGTAACAATAGAAGTGTGATTATAACATCCCTCCCCCTGTCCCCCGCTCGATCCACACAGCGCCGCTCTCGGTCAAACGGTATTGCAGCGGCTGCTTGCTTGCAGCTCTGGCACACGGGTCGTCTGGAAGTGATAATGGGCCCCGCTGGATTGCGAGTTCACCTGTGACGGCGCTGCTTCGTCCACTGGCGAGGGGAGAGACTTCCAGCTGCATCATGCATGCACTTAGAAGTGTGTCGACAACGCGAGGGTGGGAAGGGTCGAGATTTTGTAAGACTACGAGGCCGAATCCCATCTCCAGTCACGTCAGTCTGTTGAACAATGGTGGATATGAATATCGTACGTACCCGTTCTTTAAGCGCTAGTATCGACCTCCAGAATCTCATCACCTCATCTTGACTACCACCGAACCATTCCAATGTCGACACTTCATCAAAAAGCACCAACTTAGGTCTCTCTGACTCAACAGTTCGGACGGCGCCTTCTATCGTATCGAATAGTGGATGCAAGGGTGTTGATGCAGTCGCGTCTATTGGGGGAACGACTAGGGGGTCTTGCGATGGGGTGATGAGAGATGGAGGCGTGCTGATTTGGGAGAATGCATCGACGAAGACGAACGACTTGCGCTCCAGATAGGTGGGAAGTGTTGTTCCCTATTTGTGTCTCAGCATATAACTTCCTATCAGACACTTTGAGCATACAAATTTAGTTTGGATCGCCGTCCAGTCATCCAGAGGCTCGAGAAAGGATATGAGAACGCAAGAGGTCGATTCCTTTAGGGACGCGGAGAGGATATGATGTAGCAAGAACTGGCCAGAGGTCGCTATGCGGTCGTTCAACAGCAAGAAGTGCCCAGGTGCTGCAAGCGCCTCTATAGGCAAGCAGTTGGCGAGCAGTACCATCCGTCCTACCAGCACAGAAAGAGGAAGTTATGGTCGAGAAGAAAAGGAGAATGAATTTGCCACGTGACAGGAAGGCGCCCGTGGCTGTCCCTGACATCAATTGGTGGCAGCCATGCAGTTCCCGTCGCACGACTCGATATCAGTCCTTGTATATATACTTCTCCTGGTTTGCTTTATCAACGTATCATCTATAACACTAAGTTAAGGACGTAACAAAGGGGGGAGCCGAGATCCAAGTATGGCGGTTAATCGGTCTAATTCCTTATTTGCGACGGACCAAGCGGTCGACGAGCTCCTGCAGCTCAAAACGTTCGAAGTGAGCTAGGCTTTCAACTACCAAGAGCATTCTCTGATGTCGCCCTTAGGACCGGTTTGATGTTAGAGAATTTGTCTCGTCGATTAGTGAGCGGTTGATAGCTCACTCTAAGGAGGATGCTGGCCGTACGTAAAGTCACCTTGATGCTAGATGTCTGCTCACCCTGCACAGCGTTCGATCCCAAGCCTTTTATCCGTACTTTCGAGTCGTCAGTGGACAGACTTCTTTCCATACGACGCGATCTTCAAAAACAAACCGAAGTTATGGAAAACAGCGTGAGGAATGCAGAGCGAGACTACTCAAAACGCATGTCTGAGCTCAACTCGGGGTTCGAGAGCGTGGGCAAATCGTTCTCCTCAATGGAGACGAAGATCGGCGAAGTGGGAAGAACGGCGATTAGGATTGGAGAACAACTGGAGAACATACATCAATCGAGGCAACGCGCACAGGCGGCGTACGACTTGATCGATTATTATAATCAGTTTGCAAAGGGGGACGTGACGAGACTCGAGGCTTTGAGGAAAGAGAGGGGAAAGGAGAGAGAAGGGAGAGAGAAAGTGGCTATTATTTGTCGCAGACTTAGTGCGTTAGCGAAGGAAGTGGACGTCATTGGGGCGGAAAAGGTGCGTCTTACCATTCACCATTACTAATATGCAACTGAGCACTGGCAGACGAGAGAAAACATCGAAAGATACTGCGAGAAGTTTGAAAAAGATATTCTTCGTCTCTTTGATCGATCGTACCGGAAAGGAGAACCGAAGATGATGGCTGTGAGTAGCAATGTCCTATGCCAAAACCGTTTGCTTGATTTGTTTGCAGCATTGTGCTCAAATCCTGCTGGACTTCAATGGCGGAAATTCGTGTATACAAATTTACGTCAATCAGCACGAGTTCTTCATATCTGCGGCATCAGTTGAACCTTCGTCATTGGAGACCGAAGAAATGTGCATTTCTCCATGAAATTCACTGTGTTCTGGCTGACAGTTGTCTAGATGGAAGTCAATATCATCCCCTACTCCTCCTCCTCCTCGTACCGAACCCTCATTGTCCCTATTACTGCAGAAGATCAGGTCAACAGTGACTGAAGAGGCCCAGATCGTCCAGGCTGTATTTCCGAACCCGATGCAGGTCTTGCAGGTCTTCATACAACGCGTGTTCGCCCAGCTTGTGCGTCGACCATCTCCACACAAACATGCAGGCTTACAGTTCGTCAGATCCAAAGACAGGTTGAAATGCTTCTCGAGCAGGCGTCAAATTTATCTTCCCTTGCCTTCTTGCGGATGCTCCATCTCTGTCACGCGCAGATATCGCGTCTAGTGGATGATCTCAAGGGATATGACTTCTCTTCGCCCACATCTATACTGGGCAAGGCATCGTTAGGTGCTATCCCATCCGGACCAGGTAATCTGAGCGGCGTGCTTGAGACGGCGATGGAAGAGCTGTTCATTCCCTACACGGAGGGAACGCGTTGGCTTGATAGGGAATGTAAGAGCTTGGCAGAGCTGTATGCAGGCTTCTTGCTCCGTTTCTCTCGGTACCATGTGAGTTCTGCACTGATGAACATACCGTCACCTGACAGTGTCATAGGCCCAGGCACACCAAACGACCAAGACCGATGGTTTGATGAATCGATTCATGTCCCAAATTTCCACCTCAACATCTAATGTCACCTCCAACATGGCCAATGCCGTACAGGGCAATGCCACTACCGCGCAAGCAGCAGCAGCATTCATGAAAGTGACCGGACTGGGCACGGCTGGAGGCAGCCAACTGGACAAGCGCCAAAGCGATGTGGTTGTAGAGGAGCCGTTGAGGGAGTTGGATGGGAAGCTGACAATTGGAGCGGCGGAGACCATGCTGAAGTGGCATGCAGAGGCTGTGGGGAGATGTGTCGAGTTATCTCCAAGTGGTGATGTGTATGTTTTGTCTCGGAGGTTGTGGGTCCGGCTGACAACTGGCGCAGTGGAAAGAATGCCTTTGCCCTTCTTCGCCTGATATCGGAGACTCTTGGTCGCTCGTACATTGAAACGGCTATTGACAGCGCAATCTACAAGCTGGAATCGCGTGACCCGAAGCTAGAACCAGAGCTCACTCCGCTCCACGTCGTCAAGACGATCGACTTTGTGTGCCACCTATGGCAGCAGTACGTCAACACGGCGATTTTGCCCCTCGCAGGGTCGAGTGTGACAGTAAGACGAGAAATGGTGGTGTACAATAATAGCGTGATGAATAGGGTGGAAACTTCTATGGATACGCTGGTGCAGAAGGCCATTGATGGTAGGCTCTACTCTGCAGATAACTCTGCTTGGACTGACGTGAGAATAGTCGTTCTGGCATGGCTAGCTGCCCAGCTAGCGAAGCAAAAACGGAACGACTTCCGACCGCGAAACGACGACATGACGTTTGCGCGTGCCAGCACGGAGCCTTGTACTGCATGCTGTGACCTTCTCGTCAGGCTCAAAGATGCGTCCAAGGAAAGCCTGACCGGGAAAAACCAGGAGACGTTCCTCACCGAGATTGGCGTGTCGTTCCAGAGCATGTTGCTTGAACATCTCAAGAAGTTCTCCGTGTCCGCTTTGGGAGGTCTGATGCTCACCAAGGACTTGGCTATGTACCAGGATGCGATGTCCAAGTACAGCATCCCGATCATCAACGAGCGATTTGAGTTTATCCGGCAGCTGGGAAATCTGTTCGTCGTGCAACCCACGACACTCAAGTCCTACATATCTGATTCGATCCTGAATCGGGTGGATCCGATTCTGCTACGGCCGTACCTGGCTCAGAGGAGTGATTGGGCGCAGATCAGTGCCGGATGGGAGGGCATCATTCCAAACAGTGCGGCTTCGACAGAGGATGGATTCCTGAACACTACCCAAAATTTGCGGGAGCGGCTGGGTGCGGGGCTGGGAAGTATCATGCGCGAGTTAGAGAACTTCAGGAATGGTGGGGACGAGGACTTTTACTCTCCGCCACCGACCTCGGCGGTGTTCGCACAAAGCAGGACGAGCTACCCCGTGCCGTCGCCATCGATTGGCACTCTGATCAGAGGATAGAAGGGCACTATAGCAGTTTTCGTTGTATACATGTCATTCTAGTGTATTGTATCGAGAGAAGGGTCCAAAGTCATTGTTAATTGTCATGGGGATAGCCACAGAAATTTTGGTGCCGCACAAATTTTGACTCCGTGTGACTCTTGGATTTGTGCAATGCACGCGACCGCACTTTTTGCACACCTCCTCCTCGAACCCCACTCTTTCTCCTCGCCATATAGAGCATGCCAGTTGCTGTCGCCAGCATTGGCACAAGTAACATAATGATCGACCCCGTACACTCATACTCTCGCGGGCCCATGTCCCGCGCCCTCCCAGCGCATCCGATGGAGCCACCGCGCAAGAAACCGCGAAGGTCCATGACTGCACCAGCCCTTGCTACTCCTGGCCTGTCCACAATACCCACCGATACATCAAGTGAAGGATCGATTACTCCCCTGTTGGCAAGGGAGCCAGGCCTGAAAAAGAACGCAAGCTATCGGATTCATATGTATCTCACATTCGTGAAGAATGCACTTGGAGAAAGACGAAAGGTGCGGGCTCTCGGGTGGACCTTCAGCTGGTATTGATTGTATACAGGGGAAGAATGGTCCTTACGAAGAACTTGTTACGCAGTTCTCCACGGCCTCCAAGCCGGGCCCGACGACTTCTCTCGAACAACTGCGTTCCTGGCTCGACGCCCTCTCCCATGTTGTCTCCCAGCTCGACAAACTGTACTCATCTCTGGTTGATTCGGTCTTAAATTTGCCATGGAGCACTGCAGACGAACTGTTTGTGAAGAGCTACATCGCTTTTGTTGGCCTACTCGTTAGCGCTCGCCCGGAGTATCTGGGCAATGTGCTGGAGAGGAATGTCAAGGGGTTCACTTATAGTGCGTATAACGAAAACAACCTTTGTAGTCTATGCTAAGCAATGATGGTAGACTCTGGACTGAAGGTGGTGGAAAATTTGGCAACTAATGGCGCCACTTCACCAATGAAGCGAGGAACTGTATATGATCGACAACATGCACTTACATTCCACTTACTCTCTTTGATCCCGACATTACCTGCTACGATATTCCCCGTACTATCAAAGCATTTCCCTCATAAGCGGGAGCCAAAACACGCCCAAGTAACTTACATCCGCAACCTCCTCCGTATCAGCGCCTACTGTTCCCAGATTTCCGGGCGTATAATGGGACTTGTTGTAGAACGAGCGGTCCTGATCGACGTCGAGGTGCAGATCGCGTACGAGGATCTCGAAGGCGCGAACGACACGGACGCGGACGGCATTTTCGAGCTGGATCCTTTCGACCTGGTAGTCGGTGAAAATCCTCCCGAAGAAGAACAGCCAGAAGGAGAGCAGGACGAAGAAATCGATCTGAGTGATATCTCCTCTGAGGGTGGGCCAGACCTAGATCTTGGCAAGGAAGAAGTCACACAAGAGAGTGTCAAGCACGCAGCAATTCATTCGATGGTTACAAAACTGGATGCGATCCTCAAGCTCTTATTCCAATACTTCGAAAGGGTTGGATTCCCAGATCTGACCATCCCTCAATCCCGTTCTGGCACGTCGACTCCGACAACACCGGCCGGCGAAGACCCGGTCTTCCTCAGTCCTGAAGCGCGCCAACGGCTGCTTCAGGGTCAATTCCTGCACCTCCTACACATCTTCGACCGTACGATCCTCCCTACATCACGCACACGTTACACCCAGTTCCTCCTTTTCTACCTCACCTCCCTCGACGCATCCTTTGCAGATCTCTTTCAAGGACTACTGCTCCAGAAGGCCCTCTTTGATGCCGATACGAACGCTGTGGTACGCCTCGCGAGCGTGAGCTATGTTGCGGGCTTCGTGAGTCGAGCCAATTGCGTCAACAGAGACAACACACGGCGCGTCGTCAGCCTGCTGTGTGAGTATCTCAGCCGGCGGCTAGACTTGGAGGAGGATCGTACGGACACCAGAGGAGAAAGGTTCTACGCCATCGCCCAAGGTATCATGATCATCTTCTGCTTTCGCTGGCGGGATCTCCAAGAGCGTGACACTGCTGAAGACTCCTCCGACACCGAGGACGAAGAGAGCGCCGTCGGGCCTATCCGCACAACAGGTCTCTGGATGCCCGAGCTAAGCGTGATGCAGCGCGCTGTCACCTCGCCGCTCAACCCACTCAAGTACTGCGCCAAACACGTCGTCCATCAATTTGCGGCTGTGGCGAAGCACACCGGCTTCCTGTACTGTCACTCTATCATCGAGGCAAACCGCCGTGCAGGGCTGCTTTATTCGTCAGCAGTGTGGAACGAGGGGTCGCCGACGTCTGCTACTCCTACAAGAACGAGTTCAGTTCGCTCGTTGGCTAGGGAGGAACCGCCTGAGATGGACAGCTTCTTCCCCTTTGACCCGTACACTCTTCCAGCCACAGAAGGCTATATCGAGAGCCTGTACCGTACCTGGGCGCAAGCCAAACCGGAAGGGTTTGACGATGACGACACGGACAGCGAGAGCGAAGACGAGGATGAAGAAGACGAAGAGCCGACAAGTGATCCTACGAATAAGACTCGGTTCCTGGGCTCGGGCTCCTTGGGTGGGGTGTCCATGGTGAGCGGGAGCTGGAAATCGGACAGCGCTGCGAGCGAGGTGGAGGCGGCGGCGGAGCAGTTAGGCAGGAGTTTTGGTGGGTTGAGCATTAGCCCTGTGACGCCGTACATGGGACCCCGACCTCAGTAGATTGCGCAGATATTTCGGAAGGTGTCGTAGAATTCTTGATTCAGTCTGTCGATTTGTTGTATATTGGTCGGGTTGCTGTTGTATTCTATTCCGCACGAGAGTCAATAATACCGTCATACATATTCTATCAGATGTGGATGTGTTTTTTGGGCGCCGTGAGTAGCCCCAATAATGGTGTCATGTGCGGTTTGGGATTTTTTTGAGAACAATGGAATTAAGTATGAACACAACTATACAATCAGTCTTCCATGCCCTCGTTGAGCGCTTCCTTGGCCTTCGCATCCGCCTCTACCGCAAGATCTTTCGGCACGGGGGCATGCTTATAGTCCGTCTCCGCGCCGATCCACGATAGCTCCAGCTCAAAGTCCTTGTCTTTGGCATCATCATGGACAAGGTATATTCTGGACGCGCATTAGTTCGCGCTGACTTGAGGAATAGGGGAACCTACATCCGTGCTGCCTCGAACACCGCTTGGCGGGCGGTCATATTTGGCAAGTCGAGCTTTTCCAGCTCTGTCTTTGCTAGCTGGCGTCCCTTCCCGACAGCAGCACCGTGATAACCCTGTTCACATCTCAGCATCCCTGGTTGCCAACATCTTCCACATCACTCACGTAAAACACCCCACTCGGCTCGACAACATACAGTACCGGCCCGGTCTTGTCATGCGCTGCGAGCAGTGCGCTGATCCCGAACGGGCGCACGGAAGAGTAGAGTGTGTATGCTTGTACGTAGAGCCCTACGCGATCGGCGAGCGCTTGGAGAGGGGGTGGGGTATGATACAGGTCGCGGTAGTTCGCGGCTTCGTCTCGTGCACGGTTGGCTAAATGGCGACCGTCTGCCAATAACCCGGCGGTAGCCTGATGAAATATCAATCGTAAATTCAATAACAAGATATAATAACACACCATTCCAATATGACGATCTATCGTCTGTATACGGCGGTTTGCCTCAGGCACCAACAGTTTCGAATGTACGAGCTTCTCCACCGCCAGTACCACACCGTCCTTAACCTTCAAGCCAATGACAGTTCTGACATCCCGTCAGTATACCTGCATACAATAATCGACCGAAGAACATACCCAGAGTTCTCCACGGCCTTCCCAGCATACTCAACCTGTCCACACACATATCAACTGTGGCTCGAACTTGCCGAACTAGCAACACACCTGGAAGATCCTGCCATCTGGAGAGTATGTACTGGCAGAAAGATCGTAACCCGTGCCAATGGAGGTCATTTTGTTAGTCTACAGCTGAAGGAAATGAATAGCTGTGGGGAAAGGTGGGTGTATGCGCTTGGTGCAGAAGTAGGCAGTTCGCGACGCGCAAGCTACCTTCTGAAGGGACGCGCACGCACGGAGGCTTTTCCCGTTTAGGAAATCACCTGCACCTTTGATTTTGTCGCTGTGCTTGGAATGACTTTCTTACGCTACTTTCTCAACCTTTGAGAAACCAAGTTCCCCGTCGGACTGTAATAATTTCACAAGTCCATGTCAGAAGCCAATAACAAGTCTGTGAGACTCTGTCGGAATTGTTTAACGGATCCAACCCTTACGTGAGCTAAATTTCGAGCTCATCATGACCACGACCATCACGAGCACCTCCTTCTCCGACCTCCCCCTCCTGAACAGGGGCAAGGTCCGCGATCTCTATGCCGTACCAGGTCATGATGACCAGCTACTCATGGTTGTCACAGATCGAATATCTGCTTTCGATGTCGTTCTGCATGCTGTAAGCTCAGATCATTCAATCGTGTGAACTTGAACTGATGTTGAACGAAGGGTATCCCGGGCAAGGGACAGCTGCTTACTAGCTTGTCACTCGAATGGTTTCGATTGACTGAGCATATCATTCCGAACCACTTGATTACCGCCGATGTCGATTCTATGCCTGAGTCGATCAAGAAACATGCTGATGTGCTTCGCGGACGTGCGATTTTGGTCAAGAAAGCGCAAGTTGTACCCATAGAGGCTATCGTGAGAGGATACCTTTCTGGTATGATCTTCTAAGATGCTTTTGATGAACCTTGTATTCTGATAAATAAACGTAGGCTCCGCTTGGAAGGAATATAAAGTGAAAGGCTCAATTCATGGGATCGAATTGCCAAAGGGACTCGTAAAGTCAGACAAGCTTCCCCAAGTCCTGTTCACACCTTCCACAAAAGCCGAGATAGGACAACACGATATGAACATCCACCCCGACGAAGGTCCGTTTCACTTATCCTCAGCCATGAAATTACTGACCTCCTGACTTAGCGGCCAAGCTGATCGGAGCAGAGCTCTGCGCGCTCATTTCCGACAAGGCGGTGGAAATCTACAACTACGCGTCAAAGCACGCCTCTCAGCGTGGGCTCATCCTCGCTGACACGAAGTTTGAGTTCGGCCTCCTGCCTGAGACGCGTTCAGCACAACCGCTGAAGGAGAGGCTCATCTTAGTAGATGAAGTGTTAACCCCGGACTCGTCAAGGTTTTGGGAGGCGAAGTTGTATCAGCCAGGTGCGTTTTTCCCGGTCATATCGCATCGCGTCTGACTGTGTTACAGGCCAAGCGCAGACATCCTTTGATAAACAATACCTTCGTGATTTCCTGTTACAGCGGGAGAAGGAAGGCATCCCTTACGAAACTCCCGTTCCAGAGAACGTGATCGAGGGTATCAGGGCGAAGTACGCAGAGGCGTTACAGCGTCTTACTGGGCCTCCGACAGAGGCATGATCGTAGGGCAGGGAACTAGACTAGGATAAGAAAGAAGCACCGACAGGAATGTGAAACGCAACGTGAAAAGTGGAATCGAGACTTCGGTTACCTTGCCTGAGCGAATAAAGATAATTTACTCAAGGAGAATCGTTCACAAAACGGGTTGGAAATAGAAGTGAACGATGTTCAAGCATATGGAGAGTGCCATGACTGGACAGACAGCACTTTTAAATTGCCGCCATTCATATAGCCGGAAATGAATGACCCGATCACGAGGTGTAAACATAATCCATGACAACATCTTGCGCCAAACCCAGACTCGCACAGGATGGCGGCGCCAATCCAATTTCGTGCCTGGATATGCCTATAGAGAAGGGGAACAACGATAATATCTATTCATGCTATAGCTTTCAGAAGCTGTTGCGAACCATCATCACCGCTGTGGTGGTCGAAAGGAGCCCGAGACCTACGACACCCGAGTTAGAACTTCAACCCCTCTCCATTGACCTGATGGACGCACCCAATAGGGAAAGACTCGACAGCCAGCCACCGTACGCATTGCGCTTAGCAGGGTTCCCGGTGCTGTACCCGATGGTGTACAGGAGGCGGCCTACGACCCAGACGCCACAGGTTGCGGCTGTCGCAGTGGGGAAGTACACGCCGGAAAGCATGGTCCTAGAATATCCTCATCAGCACCTCATATACATAGCAGGAGCGAACGACGCACGCGAAGAGAACACCGGGAAGGTTCTCAAGAGTGTTGGCATGCGCCCGCTGGGCACAGTTGAACTTCATCGCATCGAGGCTCTTCTCCTGCTCGGCCTTGTCTGCGTATAGCTGGGGATACTTCACCCCGGCCTTGCGGCGGAATCCGGAGACATTGATGACCTGGTATGCACAGAGCCAGAAAGTGGAAGATGCGGCGACTGTATGAAGCCATTAGCACGTGCTAGTTCAGGAAGGAGAACACGTACGCGCCACCCACGGGTAGTTATCGGGCAGTACGAGGGTGAAGGGCATTGTCAGTGTCACTTGAGAAGGACGCAAGCACGCAAAGGAGAGAAGAAATGAGGCAATCCGCGTCCAACACCCCTGTCCACATTATGTACACCCTGGTGGTATTGTCAAACAGTAAATGCTAGAAAATCTAGATGAAAAAAGGGAGCAGTTGCTGGTGGACGTGGCAGTTGCCGGCAGCCGGTTGGTGGACAAGGTCAGGGTTCTGATCATGATGGCGGACGAACACCGGACGCTATGAAGCCTTCTGGTCCAGGGACAAGACATGGGTAATGCGGGGATTTCAATGGGCTGAATTTGCTGTCTCCTTCCATCAGATAATTGCATGATCATTTCATACAATCATAAAAAATGTCTTAATAGCCATTAGAGAGGAAAACAATATGGCAACCCCGAAGAAGCATACGGTCCATGGCGAAGGTCGGCCGAAAATCGCTCCAAATATTCCGTCAAAAACGAGCATAGGCGCCAGTCCAAGAGTCAGTAGTCAGAGGATATGGAGCAACTGCTCTTTGGTAATTTTTGGTAAGAAATGCTACCGCAATTGTGTCCCCAATTCTCGGCCTTTCTAGCACAGTCATGGGATAGTCCCGTCGAAGGAGTGTCGACTACTCTTTGTCTTCAACCAACAGTATCCTCTCGAGTATGCAACCGACTACGAGCACCAAACGGCGTGAACGACTCGCGTGGCCTGGATCCTGTGGCTCGTGCTACCCGTTTGGCTTCGATCTTAGACATGTGCGCTCCTGCTATTGTTGCACGCGGTCTTGCAAGAGCCCGCTTTTGTACTGAGGTACAGAACTATACCTCGAGTGAAGCGCGTCATCTTCCTCCCTGGTCATATTGTGGCGAAGGCAACAACTGGCCGCGAATTGTCAAGCACACAACCTCGTCGGATCTGATTCCCAGCTACTGGTTCCGCGGATTCGAGATTATGTTGCGCTCCCAGCAAGGCTCGTGCGGTACTTCAACCGTGGAAACTGCCCGGACGAGGACTACGGCATCATGTTTCTTACTCGTATTTCTGGAAAACCACTAGGGGTGTATCTGGAAGCGTTTGATGAAGACGAGCTGGGTCGCTTCATCCAGCAGCTCAAAGCTGCATTCGACCGACTGGCGCTATTCCGACCGCCAGATCGACGCGTTTCTGGCATAGATGGTCTGGCCCGGGCCTGTCTACCCTACTATGTCTCGTGGGATCCATTCGGCCCATTCGAGAGCACGGCAGCCTTCAATAAGTGAGTGTCAGATCGGGCCCATTACCGCGTCGATCAGAAGACAAATCCCCTCCCTTCGCGCTCTGAAGATACACACACGACCTTTGCGCACGGAGATTTCACACCCCACAACATATTGGTCGATGAACACGGTAATCTGACAGGTCTGATCGACTGGGAATGCGGGTAGCCCTCAGCCCTCTGTCGCGCGATCTGTGACTCACTGAGTATTCCAGGCCGTAGTTCGTCTAGCGGGCTATGTGAGGTGGCAGAAGATCATTCGCGGCGTGTTTCCCAATATCGAGCACGATGTCTGGGTCGAGAGTCAGTGGGGAATGTGCTGGGGCCCTGCATGAGGCGCTCAGGTGTTTAGGCATCCAGATGAGAAAAGAGCTCAACAAAGTGACTCACAGAAAATGTTATTCAAGAGTCGTTACGTTTAACGTCAGTTGTGAGCGATTTCTGAACAGCTTCATCTGCCATCCTGGTACGTGACATCAATGATGAAAGATGTTGCAGAGAGTTGTCTAGTGGACGAAGCCAAAGACAAATACAGATCATAATTGAGATTCGTCCAGCAATCGCTTGGTATTTATGGTGTACAAAGTCACATTGTATTGTATATTGACATTGTGACGCGGATGCCTCGGATAAAAGGCGCGCGGAAGTACCACTCCTCAACATAGTGTATGAGCAAAGTCTGCGGTTGACATGACACAAATGATTTTTTAAAGAGCTACTGGTCCTTCCCTGAACTGCATCGCGTCTATTTGTACAGCTCATATACGAGCTGGCCTGCCGAAGCGACGGAGGTGAGCATAAGCCCTGTAAGATGCAAATGTCAACATTCCTATTCATAGACGTCGAAGTGGATAAGCTCACCAGTAAGAGCGGTATTGAAGAGCGAAAAGCCGCGCTTGGTCGGGTCGCCTTTCGAATAATAGTACGTGTACGATACGCGCCCGAGGATCCAAGCCGTGAGCAGACTAGCAGAAGTCACAGGGTATTTCAACCCGGTAACGAAGCCCCTGCCCATCTCCATCAGCAGCTACTCTCCCGCTGGATCAAGCTGACGCACATCATAAGAACATAGCTGATGCTCTCCAGCGTATTCTGGTGCGCGCGTTGGGCGCAGTTGAACTTGAGAGCGAGTGGGTTTTTGGCCACTTCAGCCTGCTCAGCGTACAGCTGGGGGTACTTGATCCCTGACGCACGACGGTGGTTTCTCACGTTGAGGTATTGGTACTGATACAATATGAGATACGTGGATGTGACGGCCCGATGATGGACATACTACGTTCAGGAAGACCGTGCTGGTCGCCGCAGCTATATGAGCCTATTAGCTAACTGAGCAGAGAATGCACCATGATTGTGCGCACCGATGACCAAAGGATACTTTTCAGGGAGTTCGATGGGCATTGTGACGTTGTGGCTCAAAACAATGGTGATTGCACTTGGCTAGGCGGGAGTCGGTGGTGATGCTCAGTAGGACGAGCAGGGTGGATGCTTTATACGTTGAAGAAAGACCAATCGTCGATAATAGCCTTTAGCCCGATCTGCGCGCAAAGTTCCCAATCGACGCCGCAGGGTCAGATCATGGAACGCTTGGCAGACTTACAGAGCCCATGATATGTATGTCATGCTATAGGCAATGACTAGGTTCGTCGACGGTGACGTCTGCTGGTTCGTTGCGAACAGACTGATACTGTTCACGATTCGTGATGAGGGGAAGGACGAAATCCGTCCACGCGTCGTGCACGCATCGTGAGAACCGCGGACGCGCGTCTTAGAAACCATGTGCCGCTTTTTGCCGCAGCTCCAATTCTTGCGGCGCTTTTTGCAATTTTTGCAACAGCGTGCCCCCCTATTATTATGATATAAACTAGCCAGATTCAAACTCATGAATGTCACGAATCGAGTCACAACATTGTTGCCACACTTTGTTGTCCTATCAGTCAACAGTGACTTGCAGCTTATACTAACGGTTCCGTGAACAAACATGACGTTGAAGCATGCAAGAATCACTTTCAAATAGCCCTTTCAAAGGATAAAACAACTCGTGTGAGAACCTCATGAATAAAATGACAGAATGACAGCCAATCGAGGAATGCGGTCGCGCCACAGTCGATCGCAAATCTCCAAATAGAGATCCTTTCGGGTTTGATGGTGCCACACTGTAGCGACCCTTGTGTACAATGTACTTCGCAGGTTTCGAGTTTTCATCTGCAAGGTTTTCGACGAGGTTCTGACGAGATCTTCCAGTAGAACCTTTGTGACGAAACCGCTCACAACTGGTTAAAGCCCCTAGCGCCAGGCTACAGGGATTCGGTGCACTTCGGCTGTTGTACATCGTCCACGATACCAATGGCAGAAGCCGATCCAAGATACTCTCAGTCGGCAGAGGAGAAAATCGCTCAACAAGCAACAACACATAATGACTCACAGAAAATGTGATTCAAGAGTCGTTACGTTGTTGCGGCCCGAGGGACGCAGCAGGCTCTCTGACACGTAACCACAAGCTGCGCAGCGGAGCCGTAGGTGGCCCCACAGATACTGAGATCCGGTGTACCTGTCAACAGTTGTGGAGGTTCAACAAGGATTATCCAAGTAGACGGAGAGAATATTGCTCATTGTGGAGACATGAAGAGAGGATAATATGACGCTGAAGAGGATGAATGAAAATATTAACGAGTAAGCAAAGAAGTACCCCGCATAAAGGGCGCTTGGTTGATGATCACAAGCCCGGAGATCAGGATTCTTCGGAAGCGGGCTGCGCTGCGCTCCTCAGCCACCAACGCATACATCTCCTTTGCCGCAACTGCGGGCGTTGCTCCCCATGTCCTTTATTACTGTGCAATCAACAAGTTTGCAGTTCTCATACCCTCTGGTGAGCTACTCCTACTTAACCACCAGTCACAGAGGATGCCCGACGCTCATACCTCTGCCATGATTCCTCAAGTTCCCATGTTTAGCGCTGAAGAGACAGCGTTCATCGACAAGATACTCAAGAGCGCCGATGCTGGAGACGAGCAGATAATAGAAGGAAGCACAGCAAGGAAGATCTTCAAGGCAAGTCTTCCAGTAGACGTGCTCGCCCAGATATGGCACTTGGCGGATAGAGGGGACAAGGGCTTCCTGACGAGCATGGACTTGGGCATCGCGCTACGACTTATCAGCCATGCCCAATTCGGCGTTCAAGTCCATCCCCGCTTTATGAATATACGTACGTCTGTCGATCTTACCAGCTTATAACGCGTACTGACATGACTGCAGCCGTTCCGCCTCCAACTCTGCCGTACTACGAGCTCAACCGAAGACGTTCCTTTACCCCCAAGGCGCCGTCAAGAACTCGTTCAGCTACGCCGACGGCGGGGCTCAGCTTTGCCCCCGATATCACTCGAGAAGAGTGCGCTGAGTCTGCACGGCTCTTTCTGGACCACAATCCAGTTAATGGGCGAGTGAAGGGTGAGTACTTGCATGGGCGCTCATTGCATACATGCTCATTGATCTATAGGCTCGCGTGTCCGAGAGCTCTTCCTCCACTCCGGCCTTCCCACAGAAACCCTCTACGAGATTTGGGATCTGGTCGACCTCGATTACGTCGGCTCGCTTGACCTGACCCAGTTTATCCTCGCCATGCATTTCATCCGTGAAAAGACGCTGCGGCCAACGCTCAAGCTACCCAGTGCAGTCACGATTGCGTTGTATAACCTTGCTCTACCCAGTCGACCCATGCCAAGCTCAGCCAAGAGACCTTGGATTATCTCTCCCGAAGACAAGCGCCTAGCAGACGAGCAATTCGACTACTGGGACCCAGTGTGCCGCGGATACCTGCAGCGAGACCTTGTGCTCATCATCCTGATTGGGTATGCAAGGCAGCTTGAGATGGAAGAGCCAGAAGCGACCGCCGTACAAATCTGGAGCCTACTCGATCCCGAAATTCCTGATCAGCTCGATCGCGATGGATTTGCTGTCGCACTCAAGGTACTCGATGACACCGCAGGTATGATTCCGTTCCCTGCTGCGCTTCCCAAGACGTATGTCCCCCCTAATTGGAGAAGAAAACGCCACGACGGATTAAAGAGTACGTACCAGCACCCTGTCTGTCCTTCAGTATACTTACCCTTTCCAGATCCATTTACCTCCATGGTGGATCGTGAACGCAAACTGCGGCGCATGTCCGGCTTGGATGCCGATGCGATCCGGACACGTAATACCCGCGTGGTGGACATCGAGCGTGCTATCCGCGAGTTCCGAAAGGAGCAAGAAGCGCAAGAGCAGTTGAGGCATGAGATGGCCCAGGAAGCGTTGGAAGAAGCCAAACGCCAGCGGGAGGAGCTCGAGGCTGCGCGCAAAGCTCGTGAACTCGCCGCGAGGAAGGAGAGGGAGGAGGTGCTTCGCCGTGAGCGAGAAATTGCGAGAGCGAAGCAGGAGCGGGAACGGGTACGCCAGGAGAAGGCGAGGCGGGAACGGGAGGCTCGAAGAAGGGATTCTGCTCCGGTGGAGGATGAGGCCACGCGTCGATCTCGTTCTGATCAGGAGGAGAGGGAGGAGCGAGAAGCCGAAGCTGCTCAGAAGGCTCGGGAGGAACGCCGTGCCTGGGCGAGGCTGGAGCAAAATCGGTGGAAGGACTACTACAAGATTCTAGGTGTTGGGAGGGAAGCGGACGAGGGGGAAATCAAGCGTGCTCATAGGAAAGAGAGCTTGAGGCATCATCCGGATAAGGGAGGGGATGAGGATACGTTCATGCTTATCCAGGAAGCGAGGGAGGTGTTGTGCAGTCCTACTCTGAGAGGGAGGTACGACGCGCTTAGGGGTTCGACCTAGTAGGAGTACAGATCTCATCTCTGCTGTGTCTTTTTTTTGGGACGATATTCATCGAATGTAGCAACAATGAATAAATACGAATCTTAACACCAAAAGTACTAGTGATATTTGGGGGCACACAATCCTGTATAGTGAGGCAAATATGAAGAAGCACGGAGCCAATGCCATGTGCGAAAAAGCACATGGCCGCCATGGGAAAATGCCGGCATGGGGCCCGGGGGTTTTCAAGCCCTGCTCCCACAGCCCCTGGGGCTTTTGCTCCGAGGGCATCCAGGTTTTGGGGCACGTCTGGACTCTGGACTCTGGATATAGATGTCAGGGTCCTAAGCTTAGTAATTTAATCCCGCTCCGCGTCAAGCGGGCAGGGCAGGGTGCATTGCTCAGCAATTCAATAGCCGGTGCTGCCTAACACCGAAAGTGTAAGTCCGATAGATACAATTAGTTAGTGCTCTATCTAGACGTCATGTAATTATTAATTTATACTACTACACAAAAAACAAGAAAAACAGAGGACTTGGAGGACATCACCTCCAAGCCCATCTATTGTATTTCTATGCAGTCAATTCACCAATGACTACAGTTCATGGCCCTTCTCTTACTCTCCCTCTTCATCTGACTCCACCCACCAAGCCTGCTTGTCCATCTCCACCTCACCATCCTTCAGACATCCATCATTCTTCCTCTGGGCATGCAGCTGGAACCTCGCCCATGTACTCCCTGGCCATTTGCTGAACCTTTTGCTGAGCTTCTTCAGGCTGGCAGACTCCAACAACTTGGCATGTTCATACCAAGTTTTGTACTTTCCCTTGAATCCATACACCTCCTTGAAGGCTTGCCCCCAAAGAACATGGCCTGGTGTAGCCTTGTCTGTATAGCTACAGATGCAGGTGATGTTGCGTGTGACTTCATTAAAAGTCTGTGACCCGGGCCACATCTTGTCCAGCACCTCCAGGAGCAGAAGTCAGGCAGGGGAGGATGGCAGCTTGACAGTGATGGGCACAGGCTCTGGCAGTGGCAAAGTCAGGTTGATGGTGCCTTCCCAGTCCATTGCCATTGGCATGGCTGCTTCAACACCATTGATCATGTCCTCCACATCTGGCAAATTGTTGGCATTGAGTGTAACCACTCTGCTACCCCAGCATGGATGCTTAGGGTTGCTCAGCTTCACATCCTCCACTGTCCTGGGCCCAGGTTCAGCATTCCTCAGGTGTATGGGAGCCAGGGATCCATTGTTTATGGCCGGTTGTCTCCTCTGGAATGAGCTTTGGGGAGTAGGTGTCATGAAGTTACCAGTTGGAGGCAATGACAGTGGGAGGAGGAGTGGGGACAGAGTCTGCACCAGGGGACACTTTGATCCTCACTTATGATCTCAAACCACAACAGGCAGCACCCTGCCCAGTTCTTTGACTACCTGGGGCCCATCCTTGTTTACTCTGCCCAGCAGGCAGATCAATGACTCATCCTTTCTGACCTGCACCAGACCCTCCCTTCCCTGACAGATCCACATCCCCTGCTGCAATTTGAAGAACTTTGCATAGGTGACATTCTCAAACTTCATCCCAAGGTCAGAGCTCAGCTCCAAGCCCACATGACTTGGCCATTGGCTCATCCTTGTTCACAGCTTCCCTGCAGAGGGAGATGCTTGCAGGGAGAACTGGTGGACCTGCATCTTAAGTGGGAGTTAGAGAAAAGTCATTGTGTTAGTAGTTAGCTGCTTACTGTCAGGGCACCAGCTCATTGCTTGGTCAAGAGACATGACTAAGCCTTTATGACATGGAAGTAGCTGGTATACCTTGGCATGTGCTGGAACCTGCTGG